ACAGAGTTCACCTTTGAGGCGATCAGAGTACGGGTACGACTTGACGGCGGCTGGCAAGGGACACTCCTCTCTTGATCTTGTGCTGCAAACCACGGGGCGCTTCAACTTCTGGGCATGCTTGTTGCCAGTGATGTACATCATGAAATCCCCACCATGCTCTGTGTCAAGGGCAGTCATGAAGTACGGGGCGGCCGCGACCACTCGAACTTTCTGGTCGTACATGTTTCGGGCTTGATTGGCCCAGTGGCCAGAGAAGCAACAATCAGCGAGAATCCAGGGGCATTTTGCCCCCACGGGCAGCAGCTCCCAAATGTCCGAGAAGCTCAAGCACCCATCCGCGAAACACCAGTTGCCAGAGCCGGCTGCGCCGTGACCGGTGTAATACAGCATTGGGACGCACTTTCCCTTCTTGCACTCGTCGAAAAAATCGCAAATCTTTGACTTGGCCTCGCGGACCTTGAGCCTCATGTCCTGAACCTTGTTGTGCAAATCACTTCCAACGACCTTGGTCATATGACGGAAATCCAGCTCAATGCCCTCAAGGAACATGCCGCTCTTCTCGCCACCGTCTCTGACCCTTGATGTGGCGCCACTACCGCTAGGAGGATCCATTGCCCCGGCGATGAGGAGCCATTTTCGGGGAGCCTTGCCTGCCCAATCGGTGAGAGCTGGTAAGACACCATCATCCTTGCCAGCAGCTGATGGGGAACCCGCCTCGTTGTTCCACCATGGAAGGGAGGACATGGCGCGTTCACGGCAACGTGTGGATCCTACTACGTCTCGAGCCTCAAGGCTTGTCTTGGAGAGATTTCCATACTCGAGCATACACGAGCGTATGCGCGAGCACTCGGAGTGCAGTCGCCCATTGCGTCTTCTGCAATGAAAAATTTCCAATCACAACAAGAAGCTGCGGCTCCCAACCTCGAGCCCTACACCATCTGCGTCGCACCCTGAAGCATTGTTCCGGCATCTCTCCTACCGTTCTGATTGTTTCTGCCAAAACGACGAGTATCCCCACGCTTGATCGCTGTATCATTGCCTCAGTATCGTTTCTTTGGGCTCTCCGGTGCTTCGGACACAGGACGGGAATGAGCCCTCTGACCTAGCGAAGGATCTGAACTCCAACACCCTGAAAGCCGCAACTCATAGGACACAAAAACCTTCGAGGGCGTGCTGCTCAATCTCCCGGCTTTAACTGGGTCTTTGTGTTAGAGTCTGTTAGAGGTGATGTTCACCGCCCTGGGCACCATGCGAAGGCTGGAAACATACAAACTCCACGAAGCCACAGCAAACAAAGACCGCTCGAAGCCTCCCTCTGCTTCAGGGTCATCTCTGCTTGGCGTCGTCCGCGCTTGACACCTTCAGGTGATGGCGAAGAGCGAAGGAGGTGATAGCGAAGGCGGCGGCGGCGGTGGTAGTGGTGGGTCGACTGGGCCGAGTGCTGAGTAAGATGATGACGAACATGACGAAGATGATGACCATCATCATGAATATGATCATGACGATGACGATGATGACGACGATGATGATGCCAATGTTGGCGGAGAATAAATGAGGTGGGGGAGGCAGGTGAGGACGAGCGTGAGAACAACGATGACGATGACCATGAAGAGGAAGGTGGTGATGGTGATGATGACTGAGAGAACGCGGAAAAGGTGATGACGTTAATGATCGTGACGGTCACCATCATTGTCTTCATTGCCGCTCAGCATCGCCGCAACAATCAGCATGAAGATCGTCGCGCATCTTCTAACTCTGGACTGGCAGAAATGACCCTAACCATCATCGTGACATGTTACTCGACACCATCATCACCTTTGTCATCTCCACCCCGATCAGCATCAGCGCCATCATGTGAAACCTCACCAGAAAGTCATCATCCTCGAGGCCACCACGACCGCCTCCAGCAAAATCATCATTGCTAATCATCGCCACCATTATCGACAGCAGCCGCCGCGTTTATAGCAGCACAAGCGCAGCACAAGCACGAGAGTCACGAGAGGTGCCACGATCTGCATGATCAGTGACAGAATCTTCGCGAAAAGCAATCTTAGCAGCAATCATGTTGAGGGTATTGATGGCCCCCGCACACCCCGAAGCCTCAAACCCTTCCACCTTCAGGCCCCCAAACCCTACACTCTAAACCCCCAAGCCCTAAACTTCAAACTCCTAAACTTCTAAACCCCTAAACCCCCACACCCCTAAACCCCTAAACCCTTAACCCCTAAGCTTCCCCTAAACCGCTAAACCCCGAAGGTCCCATAAAACAATCTGCGGAGGCGCCTTCGAGAGCTTCGATCTCGCGGTTCATGTGATTCACGTACCTCGGAGTCGGCGTTTGGGGGTTGATGCCTTGGGGCTTCTTTGCGGGGGTTTAGGGTGGGTAGGGTTTAGTGTTTAGGGGTTTAGGGTTTAGGGTTTAGGGTTTGGGGCTTTGGGGGAGGGTTTTATTAAAGGATGGGTAGGGCTTTTAGTGATTAGTTTGGTGTCTTAGGTCTCTTTGGGTCTTGGGGAGGGATTTGTGCGGTATGGGGGGTTGGGTGTTCGGTTTTTGGGTTTGGTGTCGTAGGATGTTCTGTCTGCGGTATTTAGGGCATCTGGGGCACGGGGCATGTAGGGTTGAGGGGTTGAGGGCACCCAGGGCTTAGGGGTTTAGGAGCGTGGGGAGTTTTACAGGGTTGTGTAGTGTGGGTCTCTTTCGTGCTTCGGCTTTGTATTGTTGAAAGGTGCGCGAAAGATATGAGACCAAGCTTCTGGGAAGATCATCTTTGAGACATCTATTTATTGGCTTCCGAATGAACTCTTGCTGAAGAATCCTGATCATCTCGATCATGACAATGCACATAGTCACACTTATCCTATCATCACCATCAGCTGCTACTACTACCATTAAAACGACGACTATAACACGACTACAACTACGAATGCGACTGCGTCTGCGCCGGCTGCAACTTGGCTGTGGCTGCGGCTGCAGCGACTGCAACTCCTGCTCCCCCTCCTACTCCTACTACTACTACTACTACTACTTCTTCTGCTGCTGCTGCTGCTGCTACTACTACTACTACTACTACTACTACGTCTGGTTGCAAGCAATGAAACCCAGAAAAGAAGGCAAGAGGGGCAGATCTGAAAGGAATGCAGTGAAGATACACAGGAGACACAGCGCATGCCTGGTCACTCATCGTACCAGTTCGGAAACTAACAGCAATGGCAATCACAGTAACAAAGGCTAAGGGATGACATACTAGAAGAGACAGCAATAAAAAAAGATATGAGCTCACACAAACAGTCGCAAAAAAGTCTCCTGCCGAAGCTGGGGCACGTCAGGAGCGAAAAGTTCCGGCTCTCGAGATGAACGAAGATCTTCACGATTTCCTGGCTTGTGGTTCTCGTGAATATACTCTGGGGACAAAGAGGCATGATCAGGCCGGAACCTGCATACGTGTATGGAGGCATGGTGCATATGAATGGCCATGTGTATGTGCATACCTCAGTGAACCTGTATCAGCTTATGTCAACGCGAAGATGACTCCATGCATGAGCATTGTTTTGTTGTATGGTCCGGCTGTATTGTAATGCACTCTACTGTATTGTGATGTGGTGTGCTGTACCATACTTACGGTGCTGTCTATTTGCGTGCGTTTTTTCTTGCATGTGTGAGTGCATGTGTTTTGAGTCTGTACCTGTACAATATACAAATATACACATACGCAACCGTGTACACAGAGAGAGAGAGAGATAAGCAGATGGAGAGATTTTTAGCATGCACATGGAAACGGACATCAACATCTAGGGAGTTGTGCATGTCTGAACATCTATACGAATGCACGTGCACGTACGGGTACTAGTCTTCAGTGATGCATGGCACTTGCATGCACAGATAAATGTACACGCACACATCCCTGCTGTGGGCACATTGACGGTGGAGGCAACTATGGCAGCATGACTGCCACCAGATCACGCCTAACTCCCCATATTCCAACGCTACAGACGGTGTCTCTCCGTTTCGGGGTAGCACAGAGCAGAGGTGCCTCGATGTTGGAAATCCCCGTCCGCTCCTTGATCGTCCGAAATGCCTGCTAATGTTCGCAGAGCAACCATTCCCCAGATTCATCCTTCACCCACCCTCGCTTGAAGGCTCAGGACAGTGCATCAACAGGGCCCATGCGGAGGGTTAAGACGACTCGAAGATGAGAAAGCCGGAAGCTGCGTTGCCGTCCGCTCGTGTGCACTGCGGATCTTGCCAAGAACATGGAGGAACCTGCGATGTGCAGCTGCCTGCTCGAAGATCTCGATGCTCTTCTGATGCTGCCTGGGATGCTAAAGCCGCTCCAAGGCCTAAACCCCTGAACCCCTAAACCCCTAAACGCTAGCCAGAATTGACCTCAACCCTCCAACCCGGAGGGCTTCGATTCGGGACCGCGTTTTTGGGGGAAAGCCGGCTGACCAGGGGGTCTCTCCCTTGCCCTGATAACATTTAGGGTTTAGGGTTTAGGGTTTAGGGCCCTAAACCCCAAACCCCAGACCCTGAACCCTAAACCCTAAGTTTAGGGTTTAGTGTAACACCACAGCTTGAAGCCGTCGTCACCGACTCCTAGACTGCGGGGGAGTGAGATTGAAACTAAGCAAATAGGCCGGATTATAAGTAGAGTAAGTTTCTCTGGGGGTGCTTTTTTTTTGGGTATATTTGTAGTATACTGCAGGGTTTGGATCCGACCAAGATGTAAAACTGCCCGCAGAGCCGTTCTCATCCGCTCTGTCTTGACCCAGTTCGCTCAAAACCCGTGGGAAATCCATCTGCAGCTGCACCAGGCTTCGCAATGCTTTTAGGGGCGGGGAAAACACGGAGTCACACCCCAAGCCTCATGCCACGGCGGTGTTCGAACTACGCTTCCTGAGGTCCTAAAACTCCCCAATTGCAAATACCAAAATCTTGAACACGTAGCTTGTTCCCAACGTACATCGAACACCCCACCACGCAGACAAAGAGGTCCAGTCGCTTGATATGGCGCCGCTGGATGCAGTTCAGGAAAGCCGTCTTCATGATCCGGCGCATCATGCCTCAGAACAAGGGAAACCCTGCGGAGATCGGACCAGACTACTGTCGGGGCTTTCACACAAAGCGTCGGATGCAGCGATTTTGACTTGCGACAGTCTGGGGTTAGTCGGTCTAGGGCTGGTGGTTGAAGGGCTAGTCTAGTGTTTTGGGAAGACAAGGCTCAGGTACGCACAACACATTATGGGTAGTTCTCGAAATTAGGGTCCCGGTTCAAGCACCCTTAAAGGGATCCTAATCTAGATGACTACTCTTATGTCTTCGACTTCTCCGTCGCCTCTCGTGCGAGCACCCCAAATCTTACTTCATCAAGAGTCAGAGTTTCGAGGCTAAGGTGGCCTTACAGTAGGTACTGTGCTACTGTTGATGATACAAATCCTGCATGACCTTAAGGACCCTAAACTATGGGAATTATGGTATATTCTTCATTGTGGGTAGTGCAGGATTTAGATCATCAACCGTATGTCGGTTCTATTATGTTGGGGTCCCTTGTTTTGGAGGCTCCGAGGGGCAAGCAGGTGAACCGGAGACCATGAACTCTTCTAACCTCTAGTATATGAGGGCCTTAATAATTAGGAAAGGGCTTTGGGGGTCCATTCTACTATAATTTTAGCCAGGAACCCCCAAAATAGTATTGGTAAGTATTTAGGCTGCAAAATTATTAGCTCGGAGGAAGATTGAAAGTTGCCGTCATCCCTCAATCTCAACATCCAAATCATCCAAAACCCACCAAAAACAAATCCTCACACCCCCGAAACCCCAAACCAAAACAAGCCACCTCAACGCCCTCAGACAAGCCTTATCAAACACTCAGCTAAAAACCCTAAACCACCCTAAACCCTCAACCCTGAACCACCCTAAACCCTTAGCCCTAAACTACCATAAACCCTAAACCACTTAACCCTAAACACTAAACCCTCAAACACTTAAGAGCCGCTGCCAGGGCGCTGGGCTCCGAGAATTCCTCCTCCTCAGGAGGCAAAATAAGCCTCGTTGGATCGGGATTTTCTTGCTCGGGATTTTCTTACTTTTGGGATCAGGGCTTATTGCTTAGGGTTTAGCGGGGTTTGGGGTTATGGCTTTTGGGTTCAGGGCTTACTGTTTAGGGTTTGGGGGGTTTAGGGTTACGGTTTCTGGGTCCTGCTTAATTTGGCCTAAACCCATCTTTGGTGTTAATCCAAATCCCTAAACCTTCAAGACTCAAGTCCAGACCCCAAGCTCCTAAACTCACAAAACCCTTAAATGCCAAACCCTATCAGCCCCAAAAAGAGACTCTACAGCCCTGTAAAGGCTTAGGGTTTACGGTTTAGGGAAATCGACTTATACTGTTACCCCCAAGCCGCGCGACACTTCAAAACAAATCGAACCTCTTTGCATGCCGGGCGCTCGTCCTTCCGCTGCACGCGGCCTTCGGCCTGCTTTAAGCGCACCTCCACCTGCCTCTTGTCCAGCTCCACCAGCTTGATGTCCTCTGTGGTGGTTTACCCGAACTCCAAGGACCTACCTGTTCAAGGAAATCGTATAACGTAAATATAAGGAGAGGAGCCACCCCAATATGTAGTATGTGCTTCTAATACGACTACTCATGTAAAGTTCACAGAGATTATTTGCTACAAAATTGAGCCTTTAGGTTGGTTGAACCCAGAGAGCCCAATACCCCTTAATTAAGGAATATACCTTACATCATAATATTAAGGCCCCTACAATTCAAGGTATATTCCTTAATTGAGGGGCATTGGGCTCTCTGGGAACCTTTCCGATCCCTGCGTCCTTCCGTATCTCCAAGACCTTCTCGGTAAATGTTCTTCGCTCATCGTCCCGCTGCCTCCTCGTCACCTCTACGCGTTGCCTGGGCTTTTGCTTTCAGGGCTCTTCCACGGAAATCTCTCAACGAGGTGTGGGTTCGGGGCGTAGGGTTACGTTCAAACTTGAGGCCTTCAGAAACCCTAAACCCGAAACCTTAAACCCAAATGTTCTTCTCTGCTCGTCTTCACGTGGACGGCTTTGGGCTCAGGGCGCGAAGTGCATGGGCTTCCTTTAATTCGGCCTCTTTTCCATCGATCGTGTCGAGGGCTTAGGGTTTGGGCTTTAGGGTTTAGGGTGAAGGGTTTCGGGTTGAGGGTGTAGTCTCAGCGTTGCCAAGGGCCTCTGTGGAGGGGGCGTCGTTGCTTGCTTGCCCTGTTCAGCTAAATCATCTGCACGTTCGTTGTGGATGTTGCCACTGCGGCCCTTGACCCATTGCCATCGAATTGTAACCATGGCACTGTCGTAATGGAAAGTGACATTTGTTGGCGGAGGAGTCAATTCAAGTGCTGCTTCCATTAGTGCGCTCAACTCGCCCGTTTGTTGCTACCGACCATTGCGCCTAAGTAACAAACCGATCGCGCGTCCAAGGCGACTGGGCCGTTTGCTGATGTGATTTCCTCATCGTCTTCCACTACCGTAAATCCCCAGCCCGCCGGCGCGGTAGCCGCTCCCTAGACCCGGAACCGCCCGTGTAAAGTTCCCAGTGGATGTTGTTTGTGGGTGTCTTGTAGTGGTGATTGACCCATTGCACGTTTGGGTTTGGTGTTAAATGCGCTGCGCGTCTCCGCAGTAAGGGCTTAGTGGTCGTGTTTAGGAGGGCGGAGGGCTTAGAGCCGCCACCAGGGAACCCGATTTGTTGGAAACCTGGCACGTTAAGACTGTGGGTAGCCACTTCGCTCTGGATACCATACGGTCTAACGACTGAAACCTCAAAGCATCTCCCCGTGGGCGGAGTAGCTGGCCGGAATCGGCCAAGTGTCTATGACGAAATTCCTAAGGTTGGCTGCTATGCATATGTTGTCTGAGTCGTCTTGCGGAAGGTCAGGAATCTTATCCCAGAGTTGAATCAAGCCTATAGTCCTACAGGTCGCTAGCGAACTGCAGCCCATCCGTAGGTGGATGTTTGTCCCAAAATGTAACATGTTTGGTAAGGTTTGGCTGCTGAAAAGTGAGCACATCTTTGAGGCTTTCCCCTCTGAGTAAGTCTGCGTAGCAACGGCGATTTGAGCCTTCATCATTATGGACCGACGGACATGAAGGGGGCCTTTACCACAAATGTCGGGCCCAAAAAAATCATGCTCGTCTCTGTAACGTCCCTGCAGCCTAACGTTAACATCGCGCTGGATGTGATCTGGTTCGGGCTGGGGGGATTTTGGAGAGAATGTTTGAGAATGTTTTCTAGATTGTTCCAAAATGATGTTTTACTAGACTCGTGGTCGAGCTTGTTGTGTGGGGTTGTAGACTCCTATGTACTGTTGGTCACCGGAACTGGAGATGAACACTACTTCGAGCATTCTGCTGCCATGCTGTGTGATGCTTCTTAGAAACGGCAAAGTGCGGGGTGGAAGGACTGCAGTGACTCCCCGCATTTGTCCGTGGCATTACCGTTGATTATGAACAGGTGTCCTGTTGATTTGTATTGACGGTAATTTGTGGCACGTGTTTCAGCAAGGAATAACATTATAATAATAATTGATATAATAGATCTAAGGATCTTTCTTTGAGCAAGCTAGAACAGCTTCTTGTTTAAGAAGTTCCGCCACACCTTGTACGTTTTGAGTTCCGAGCCTTCCCACCCGGCTCCTCTGTCCCCCACCCCCCAAAAAAAAACCCTGTCTGCCCTGTTTGCCCTGCCGTAGAGCCCCGAAAGTGTAGAACGTCCGCCAAGCAGCTGCGCTTCACTCGAGACTGCCTTGCTCTGCGCCGCCTCCTGAGAGCTGGAAGAGAGCCATAATAACATAGACATAGAAGCCTGAATAACTGGAATAGGGCCCCTGGGATAAGAGCTCTTAACCAAGGGGAGTGTCGGGCTCCGGGCTCAGGTACCAGTGACTTTTAGGGTACTATATTAGGGACCTAAACAGGGACCCTAAATTAGAGAACTACTCACAAGTAGATCCCAAACCCAGGATTGGGTCACCGAGGTGGGCTTGCGAACAGGTCGAGCGCACCTGGCCCAGGAGTGCCAAACTTTGAACTCACGGGCCCCGAAGCATCTAACTCAATCCAAATTGCCATCATGGGGATCTAGTGTCACGAATAGGCTTTCCTTATGATGACCGCTTAACTTAAGTTCCTTAACAAGAACCCAGGCATGCTCTAGCTCCCCAACCCCAAAAGCCCAAAAGGACAAATCTCATAGACGCTAGACCCAGGTCCTACGCCCGAAATCCCAAGTGGTTTAGGATGTAGGCTTTGGCGTTTCGGGTTTAGGGTTTAAGGTTTGGCGTTGCGGGCTTAGGACTTAAAGTTGGGCGTTTCGGGGTTTAGGGTCTGCGGTTTGGGGTTTAGTATTTAGGCCTAAACCCTAAACCCTAAACCCTAAACCCTACCCTAAACCCTAGACCCTAAACCCTAAACCCTACCCTAAACCCTAAACCCTAAACCCAAACTCCTCCACGAAGTCCCGGATCTGAGCAGTGCGGCCCCGGATCCTGGGTCCATTGGGGCTCTAGGGTTCTTAGGGCTTTAGGGTTCTTAGGGCTTTAGGGGTCTTAGGTGGCTTTAGGGTTCTTAGGGTTCTTAGGGTTCTTAGGGCTTTGGGGCTTAGTGCTCTAGGGCTTTAGGGTTTCAGGGTTTGGGGGTTGAGGGGTTGAGGGTTTTGGTGCCCAAAACTTCAGGTTTAGGTTTGAGCGGGTTGGGTGAAATCGACGGTTCTGTCTTCCAAACCTCTGCGGCAACGGCGCAAACATCCAGAAACCAGCACAAGCAACGGCAAACAAGAAATTCGCAACGACAGCACCGATCGCGGCACAGACGGCGCAGGTAGAAGAGGAAGGACAGCCCCTGCTACTCTCCCGGACCCTCCTCCTGTCCAAAAGTACATTTGTTGCAGAGAAGAAGCGACACAGCAAGAAGATTGCAGCTGGTAGCGTATACCACACCATGGGCGATCGGATAGTCACAGTCGTGTCTAGCAGCTGGACACGACTGTGACTATCCCATCGCCCGTGGTGTGGTATACGTTAATGTACTCATTATAAGGAACCCTGAGGAAAAGATGTCCATAATTATTCAAGCTTCTGTTTTATGACTTATGACTGCATTACGGTTCTTGCTTCTGGGGTTTCGCAGCAGGGGCTTTCATCCCCAAAACCGCTCCAGAGCACCAAAAAAAATCTTGCACAACCTGGTAGAAGCCCTGAGCCCCAAACGGCAAAACGTCCACAGAACCCTACAAAATCCTAGCGTTTCTGGGGGCCCTAAAACCGTCTTCGAGGCCGGGCATCTGGTACTTCAGCCTCTCGAAAATAAGAGCCAGCTGCTTCTTCCGCTTCCGGATCTGCTGAACCTCCCGGAGGATTCTCGCAGGCACTGTAGAGTTTAAGGTCCAGTGCCTGATCGGGGTCCGATAAGGGTAGTACAGGGGACTTATGTCATGTTTCGGAGCAACAGACCCCCGAAGATTAGTTTACGGCTGAGTTTAGGGCTTAACGCTTTGAGGCTTGCGGCATCTTCAGGGTTCCCAATCCAAGGTGTAGTCAGTGTGGGCCTCGGGTTAAGGATACCGGCGGCGTTCTTTGAAGGCACGCTGAAGCCCCCCAAAGCCTACAAACCCTCGGCCCAAAACCCTCGATCCTAAATCCTACCTGTAGCCGAAAAAGCCTACCTTTGCAGAGCTCCTTATTATGGTTGCTGCAATAGAGTTCCTTTCTTTAAGGTAGGTCCTTTTTGGGCCACAGGTAAATACCCCCTAGGCCCCGAAACTCCGAGGACCCTAGGGATTAGAAAGGCCTCCTCCTGGAGCTGCCCGTTGTCATGCTTGACGGCGTCCAACTTCTTCACCTCTATTTAGGGCTTAGGGTTTAAGGTTTAGGGTTAAGGGTTTAGGGGCTTTTTTTTAAGTGCACGGGTTTAGGGTTTAAGGTTTAGGGTTTAGGCTCAATAAGCTTCAGAGGTCCGTGGGCGCAGGATTTGGGCTTTCGGCGTGTCCGGGCCAGCGGGTTTTACTGCTTTTCGACTAAGCAGAACACTTACGACCTCGGGAGTGTAAGATGTTAAGATTGAATCACACATGCAACCCTCAAACTCTCCGGAATGGTCTCACGAATCCTTTCGAAAAGACTGAGATCGTCCGACTGCCCAAGCCCTAAACCCAAGAACCTGCTCGACAATCATTCAAGCGATGGGCCATGTTCCCGAAGCTCTGTTTTGCTTTTGCAGCTCCCCCCTCTTCGTAGAGATACCCTAAACCCTAAACCCTCACAAATCCTAGGGCCCAAAATGCGACCCGAAACGCACATACAAAAAAGCGCTAGCCTTCGAGATTCCAGCCCCCAAGCGGCTAGAACCTTTTAGGTGGCCCGATTTGGGTTTTAAGCAGGGCTTGGGTTGAGGCTGTAGGGATTCGGGGATTCAAGGCTCAGAGCTTCAAAGGAGCTCTACCTAGTGGGCCGCCTTTGCTGCGTTGAACTTCGAGCTGCCTGGACGTCCATCTGCGCCACCAGCTGTCGCATGGGAATCATCCGCTCTGCTAACGAAGGCTCGGCCTGGGGCTGGTGTTGTTTGTGATAGAGTCTGGGGCAGTGTACAGTGTAGGGTTGAGGGCTTAGGGGTGTAGGGTTCAGGGTTTAGTGGTTGAGGGTTCAGGGTTTAAGGCTTTGTCAAAAACTTGCGATCACGGCCATGAGAATCGAGAACAGGAAAGAGCTTCCTTGCAGCAGTAAGGAATAAGCACTAAACCATAATGGAACCCTCATAAGACCTGTTTTGCACTCATGCAAAACCCTTAAATCGGACCCTCATCTTCAAATAGCATGCCATCATCTAGACCGTAGATCAGCTTTCCTGCGGTGACGATACAGCTACGCGACAGGGGGCAGG